TTACCTTCGTTTTGTGCACTGTGTTGTTTGGGTTTCTTATGCACGTTTCATTTTGTCCTCCGTACGGCTCAACTCTCTGGAGCCTATGTCTGTTTTCCCTGACTTCGTTAGCAGTGAGAGCCGGGCCCTGAGTCTCAGTAAGTCACACCTGTGAGCACTGTTTGTGAGCCCGCCTCTTCCTGGGGATTGTTCACAAACATGTGGTCTGACCATCACAGTAGGATGGTGCAGAGGGCCCAGCACATAATCGGGGCTCAGTGTTTTAAAGTCAAAAAGGCCAGCTGTTAATGAGAATTCCCACCTACTCTGCCACCTTTGGGATTTTAGGCAAGTTTATTTTAATCTCACCAAGCCTCAGTTTCCTCATCCATAAGTAGGAAGAATGAACACCTACTTCATGAGGTTATTTTGAGGGAAAGAAATTGCTTGGCGTAGAGTACTAATTATTATTAAAATAGCTCTTCTTTTCCTTCTTTTTGTCAGAACTTGATCTGGCATGGCCCAGAGGCTCCTGAGCCCTCCCTTTGTAGCTTAAGAAGCAGTTAAGATGCAGGGACTCAAGACCGGCACCCCAGCAAGAGAAACCTAAGGGCCCAGGCTTTATGCTTTGGTCAAGAAGAGAAGCAGCTGGCCCCAGGGCGAGAATGGTGGCCTGTGGCTGTGCCGTGTGCTGAGGTGAGGCTCTGGTTGGGTCAGCTGGCCGTCCACCCAGGGGTTTTGGCCTTCTTTCTAGGAATAGGCACCTAGATACCATCAAGTATGTGAATTCTAACTGCTTTGGAAACAAAACCAAGGCAACAAAGAAACTGGAATTATAAAACATAGCCTTCATAAAAAGAAAGTGAACTTCTCCTTGAAGAAAACCAGTTGTGACAGAAGAAAAAAGGAAAATCAACTCCAAATGGGATCATGTTTTATTCAAGATGTGTGCTGCTGGTGGGGAAGGCCAGAACTTGGTGACAGGATGGGAAAGTGGGACACCTCAACTTCAAGCCTCGTCTGCTCTGCCACGAAGTACTTCTCGCTTCACCGAGCTCAGCTCCTGGGGACCTCTAATGGCCCTTGATAGCAAACATAGTTAAAAATTAACAGACTGACAAAATTAAATATGGATGACCAGCAACCACTGTGGACTTAATCTGACACAGGGTGTTACACGCTTGGGTGCCCTCAACCCGAGTGGCGTCTTAAGTGAACTTCTGGGATGTCTGTGCACATTTCACATGCCTGTTTGGAAGCAAGAGCCTGGCTTGTGCTTAGGATAGACAGGGAAAGAGTCTAAAAGCCCAGAAGAGAAAATTATCCCTGAGGGCTTGCCTTAATTCAACATCCTGAGTAGGCGGTGTTCACAGGCCTAGGACCTTGCTCCTGGGGTCCTTGCTCGTGGGGTCTAGACCTTGTGCCTTCCTGGGCTCGGGCATCAGCAGTGTCCCACCATCCCGACTGGGAGATCTCACAGCAACACAGGGCTGGGCCTGAGCATGGCCTTCTCCAGCCAGGACTTGCCTGCCCACCTCCCTTCCGGCTGTTGGGGTGGGTCAAATGGCAGGCTCAACTTGGGGACCAGTTCCCGTAAATCTTAACATTTGCCTAGGTAATGGCAACTTGTTTAATTGCTCTAGGCAAGGAATAGTAGATGTCAGACAAGTAGTAAAGAATGCTGATTGCATCTCGTGCCCTGTGTGTCTGCTGAGAGAATGGGCTGACAGCTTGGCATGGGCACACGGAGGGGAACGGGGATGGATGTTCCTGTACAGAGGGACCCTCGGGGCCTCGTCTCGTGAAACAGAAATTCCTGCAAGTGTTCTCCCAGTTTGGTGAGTGCCTTATCAGAACTAGGGATGCTATTTAAAAGAATCCTGTGATTGGTCCCATAAAGATCATCTTTTTTGCATTGCACATCACTCCAGTGTATGCGGTGAGTTTGGAGTTTCTTGGCCCAGAGTATGCTTCTGTCTTGGCAGCCTCTCCTCCGCCTGGCAGCCTTCAACACAGTTTGCTGTAGGACCTGACATGCTTCATCTGGTGATGCTGCTCAAGAGCAGATCGTTAGGTCTAGGGTGAGGGGGCCAGGGGTGCTTGTAATTAAAGAATGTGCGAGTGGCTGGCTGCAGTTAGCTCGATGTTGGGAAAGCCCCAGCAGGCTGTTCAGGGCTCCGTCTTGGGGTTAGTGGTAGAAACCTACCTCAGAATATCCATGCCTTAAAAAGGAAAGAGCTTGTTTCTGAATCTGTGGTGCTAGAGAAATCTGCATTCAGGTACAGCACCTGCATGAGGAAAGGTGAGAAGATCTTCACTGCTCCTTATAAAGGAGACCTCCAGGGCCCCAGCTGGTCTGGTGATCTTCCAGCTCTAACTAATTTTGGGGGTTTTTTTTTTTGGTCCCCTTTTTCTCCCCAAAGCCCCCAGTAGATAGTTGTACGTCATAGTTGCACATCCCTCTAGTTGCTGTACATGGGACGCCGCCTCAGCATGGCAAGACAAGCAGTGCGTCAGTGCGCACCTGAGATCCGAACCCAGGCTGCCAGAACCACTAAGCCACGGGGCCGGCTAGTTTTGTTACAAGCTAGAAACTTGGATGCCGTATCGGCACACCTCCATCTCTTAGACCCACCGTATGTCACCACTGGAAGGGGCCTTCCAGACCAACATTTCTCCACACCACAGGTATTAATAGCTGTTATGTAATAAAAAGATTCTGTGGTCGGATGAACTTGGGAACCCCAGGCTTAAATCAAGTCAAACAGGTTTCTTTGTTGCAGAGCTTCTCAGAGCTTTTAATATGCTAATATATATCTGCTGAAGGGGCATAGACTGTGCATTTCTCTCAAGCTTACTTGACCTGAGAGCATCTCTAGACTAGCCTTCTTCCAGCCACACTTTTGGAAACCTATTCAAGAGCAGTGTCTCAAACTTGAGCACAAGCATCATTGTCACCTGGAAGGCTTATTAAATGCAGATGCTTGGGCCCCTCCCCTAGAGTTTCTGCATTTCTGACAAGTTCCCAGGTGATGCTGATGGTCCAGGGACCACACTCAGAACCACTGGTCTAGACTTATCCTTTTATTCCACAGAGAAGACAACAGCTAAACCAAGGAATATTTACTAATAATAGCTACCATTGATTGAGCTAGGCACCTGATTCTAAAGGCAATTGTGATGATGGGAGTCAGTCACTCGAAAGGGCATAGTACAATGCAAATTTGAGTGCTTTTCACTATGCTCTGTAGCACAGACCACTGCAAACCGCTGTGGACGGGCTGGTGGGTCAGGCCGGGGTTCCACCCTGGAGACCTGTCAACGTCTTCTTGTCCTTGGCAACATTATTGGGAACGTGAAGTCTATATGTATTTTAATCCTGTGGGCCTTGGTTTCCTCATCTATAAATGGAAGAGGATGGAAATTATTTTTATGGGTACTTAACTGCTTTCTCTAGCATTCCATTTTATTTTTTCTCTGAGTTCTTTCTTTTTCTGGGTCCTCTTCTACTCCTGTCCAATCTTTCACCGGTCACAGGAGCTGGTACCATGCTAAGGTATTGGGGACTTCAGTGTTACCCTTGCAGAGGCACTGCATTTTAGAAGAGCATTGCTGAAGAAGTGTGACAGTAGAATCTCAAACAGTGTGGCCCCTGGATAGTGGATTGTAATTGTAACAGCTGTTATCATCGTTAAGTTCTAGTGGAGAAGTGTCCCAGGGTCTTCCATGTTGCTTATTCACTTACATGTCACAATCTGTGTGCTGTGCTTAGCAGTCTCTGGCACAGAGTAAATATCAGTGTTAGTCTGGATCATATATGTTATGTTAGAGGTTTTTACAGGGACTTCAGAAGCCCCTGGAATTGTGTGCAAGATTGTGAGTGTGCAGTTTGAGTATGTATGCGTGTGCGAGCACATGTACATTTTTCTGCAGACAGGATACCTGGAACGTCAACTACGTAGACTTAGTCCCTGCTGAATTGTCCCTGGAGAGAGAGTCAAGGGAACTGTGGGTTTCCCCAGTGTTTATCATGCACCCTAGGCAATGGGCAAGAGTGGCCACAAGTGACCTGGGGCCAAAAACCACAGCAGAACAAGCAGCTCAAGTGGGTGTAAGGGTGAACCTTATTTTTTTCTTTTTCGGAGGACAGCAGTGATTAGCACAAAACAGCTTGTTCACCTGGGCCGGCCACCTGAATGGGCAGTTTTGCCCTATGAGCGCTGCTGGTCTGCCCTGCTGAGCAAGAACGGTGATGAGCTCAGGCTTGGCCTGGGGAGCACTGCCCTCTGCTGGAAGGTGGGCGCAGCTGTGCCTCTCGAAGCTGGAAGAGGAGGCACCCTTGGGTGTCTATGGAATGTGGTGAGAAGGGCCCACCCTCTTGGCAAGCACAGTAGTGTTCAAGCTGTGGGGCACAAGAGTGATGAATTTGGGGGCCTGTCATTACATCATCATCACTACATCCTCCCTGAGAATCGGCCAGCAGGCTGACCTCATCTCAGCTCATCTGAGCACAACTTATCCTGGACCCCAGAGCTCAAAATCAGCCTGCTTGTCACCCTGAAGTGCTCAGTGTTCTAGACCAAACTGACTATAGCACTCTGGTCCTGCACACCACAGGCACACGTGTGACTGAGAGAATGCGAGGGCTTTGTGTGGGTGGAAGAGGCCAGCGGGCGAGAAAGGTGGTCAGAGAGGCTGGAGTGGGTGCACGGGAGATGAGGGCCTTCCGTCTTGCAGTCACCTTCACCAGAACAAGAATCATGTCATCCACTCTGTGGCTCTCCCCCCGGTCAGCCCTCCCTCCTCTCCTGTGTCTCCTCTGTGAAACACCATCGTGTCTTGGCCTTGTGGGCTCAGTGCCCCAGCCCCACACCCAGGCAGCACCAGTCGCCACCACTGCGCTCCCCCGACCCCGGTGCACACAGCCCCATCTCCCTTCCACTGTGTGTTTAGGTTCCCAGCCCCCACCTGCCACAGGGCTGCGCCCCTGTCCCATCCTTTACCTTTCCCACCTGTCTCAGGAAGGCAGCTCCAACTCTGCTCTTTGCTTAGTGAGCAAGTGGATTCAGATGCACAAAGCCATAAGCCATGGGTAGGTATGAAATTTTTCTTTGTGTCTTTCTCTTTCATCTTCTTCTTTCTGCCCTCTCCCCCTCCTCCCCTGTACTCCACCCTCCCTCGCCCTTTTGGCCCTACCATTTCCCTCATTTCCCCTCTTTATTTCTCTCTCCTTTGTCCTGCGTATACTTCTAAATTCCCAAAGTGATGTGTTTTGTAGCTTACCTGCATGTGAAGAGTTTTTAGTCCCTCGTCCCTTTAATTTCTATGAGTGTTGAAAACGACTGGCCGTGCCCCAAATGAGCTTCAGTACCTGCTGGGGGCTCCCGAGGAATACAGCTTTGCCCTCACAGTACGGGGGCCCCACCTGAGCTGGTAATCTGATTTCTAGTAATATCTGATGTGGTCCCCGGAGGGTCTCTACTGCACAGCTGGCCAAGGGTCCCTGAGATGGATTTTGGTGTAGGGGGAAGCTCAGAAATGCATCAGGGTCCTTTTTAGGTCCCATTTCCCGAGTAAGTGAGGCCAGACGCCTCTCCCCAGGTTGGGAAAGAGTCCCCAGTGTGGCCTCACCCTGCGTTGACAGCCAGAGAGGAAATAACCGCTCTGTGAGGAGGCCGTGGGGTAGAAGGAAACTGCAGGGACTTCTGTGTGTGGACCGGGGCAGAAGGCCAGGGATACCGTGTGGGCTTGCTCTAGGAGCCGTTCCTAGACAGCCCAGCTTTTAGAATCAAGTTAGGAGAGCTAGTGGAGCCTGAGACCTGGATTCTGACCCCACTGGGCTCTGTGACCGCGGGGACGTGATTCAGAACACCCAGACCTCAATTGGTTCCCCCCTGTAAAATCAGGTAAGAGGAGGCGGGAGGGCTTCATAACCGCAGAGCCCCTGGCCCCTGCAGAGCGACCTCACAGGCCTCAGGTGCCCTGCACCTCCGTCTCAACCAGAATGCCACTTCAGCCGCTTATTCAGACCTTGGAGACCTGAATGAGCTGCCATATGAAAAAGGGGCTCTGCGGCCAAATATATTTTATTAAACCACTGAAGTAGAACTGGCAGGGTAAAATTTCTTCCAGCATCACATGCTACTCTAGAAACGTTCTCAGGTGAACCGGTTTGGGCCAGACCTGGTAAAAGCAGTCTTTCTCCTCCTGCCAGGGGAGGATGCTGCTTCCCCGCGGGCGTCCAGCCCTCTCCTGTGCAGCGTCCCCCTGTTGTAATTTTCTCTCCCTCCCCTACTCCCAGCGTCCTGTGTTGCTCACGGTGCGATGGGGAGGCCGTCCCGCCTCAGTGTACACAGAGGAGCAGCAGTACACAGGCCTCTCTCGCCTCTGTCCAAGGGCTTGGGGCAAAACTGGCCTTTTTTAAAGCCCAGGTGCACTTGCCCTTTTTTCACATTTTCCTCAAGAACAAGACCAGGAACATTCTGCCAAGTGGATAAAGTATCGCTCAATCCGTTTGTGTTTAGGGCTGGCCGTCCACTTTGGAAAGGTAATGGAAGAGATGGGGCTGCAGGTCCCTCTCAGCAGAGTGGGCAGAGGGCAGAGGTTATCAGACACCCCACAGTGCCAAGAAGCCAGAAGCCCTTTTCTAAAAGAACAGGAGCAGAATCTCAAGTCTTGGCAAGACCTCTGGCGTGCATGGGTCATGAACCATTCCTTCCCTCGCAAAGCAGACACGTTTCCACATCCTGCTTAGAAAACCATTAGGCAGCCTGCCCCCCAGCCTAGGCGTTGCTGGGTGAGTACGGAAGAAGGGACTCCCTGGGCCAGGTTTTAGCCCAGCAGTGGCCCTTAACTGTGAAAAGGAGGGTGGGAGCAGGGGAGCTGCTCCAGTGCTGCTTGAGGTGGGCGCTTTCCTGCGAGCTCAGCCCCTGTATATATCCGGGGATGAGGAAAATTTCTCAGGGTGCTGCTCTGACTCTCTTCAGTCCCTGGGGTGAGAACTGCCCACAGGCAGTCTCGGAACAGTGAGGGGGATGGCAGCCCAGCAGGATGCTCTGTGAGGAATGAGACTGTCCAGTGGGAGCCCTGGTTCACAGCCCTCTCCCCACGTGTCTTTCCAGATGCGCTGGCTCCCTCCCTCAGAGGCTACTTCTCAGGGCTGGAAGTCCCGTCAGTTCTGCTGAATACTGTGTAAGTACTTGGTTTCCATAACAACTGTGTGGAGTGCCTAGAGGAGCCTGGTACAAAGTGGACGGTCATTCACTGGCAGCTCTCATCCTGTCTCGGCACCCACACCTTCCACACTTCCTGTGACTGTCCATTGTCGTTAAACTCACGTGAAGAACTCCACGTGAGAACACGCATCTCTTCCAAGAGATTTTCACCTGGGATTGAAGGAGAAGTGACGGATGCTACTCTGTTTGAGGCTAACTTAAGAAACCAAATCCTGGCCTTCCTCTCCATAAATCAGCGGTTAGTGCTAGTTTCTGTAGGACAAGTGTGAGGAGATTTCCTTACGTAATTGTAGTTCACCTGCTGCCAGCATTAAACCGAAACCTTCCTCAAGTTACAGGCATAAGTCATCTACTAACGTACATAGTGCTTTATTATGGGAGTCAAAGATTTTTCAGAATTAACTTCCCTGCATGCATGCACGCATATTAGAACTTTGGATAAGTTCTAATCTTTCTATAATACCTAAATGTTTGTACTGAAGGCAAACAGTGTACTTTCCTTAAAGTTTCTTATCTTGAAGGAAACATTATCCTAAATTGGCATCTTTATGCCAGTTTATCTTAGGCCTAACCCTGCTTCAGACAACTACCAAATGAAGTCTGTTTCCTACAAATGTAGAATTTCTGTAAAATTCCAAATGCCTTCTTTGATTCAGTATCTCTAAATTTCTGTTAAGCACAAAGCACTGTGATTCTGAACTCTAATTTGGTATGTGAATTTGGGGAGTCTCCCCTAAACTAAGTCTTTGTTGATTTTTCTCTTGGTTTATATCATTCCTTCACAAAGCAGGAAGAAAAATGAGAACAGGGAGGGACCAGACCATCACGCAGTTAGAAATGCTGGAGAGGCCATGGGAAGTTGCTACGCACCTGTACCTAATGCCGACACTCGAGTCATGGTCCTTTTCTTGGAGAGCTTCTAGTCTAAGATAAAAATACTTCCAGATAAAACTAATGTTTTTTCTTCTTCCACCATTAATACTGAGTCCCATGTGCCTTTGTTAGATCATTTGAGGCCATTGAGACTCTTCTGAGGAAGTATTATGTGGGAAAAAATTGGCCTCTCGTTGACTGAGGCTCAACCTCAATGCAGAAGTGTTTCCTGTCCCTCACAGGGGGATCACTGGAGAGGTGGTGGGTGCTGGAGCTGGCCTTGTGCAGGTCAGCGCCCTCTTAGTGAGGAGGAAGGAGAGCCCTGAAAAGGATTTTCAAAGAACTCTGGGATTTGTTTTCCATGGGCAAGTTGCCCTATTGACCTAAGTCTCTGTTGGTGGGTCACATCAGCTTCATTTTGATTTCCAGAGTGACTGCTGAGTGTAGACCTCATTTGCTGAAGTCGTCACTACCCTAAGAGTCAGCACTTCCAGAGAGCTCCGGTCCTAGGTCAGAAGGAAGGCTTTTTCGTTCTGAAGGAAGGGCCTCACCAAACAGGAGAAAGATTAGTGATGGGTGTCAGAGCATCAGAAATCCCACCAGAGATTCTCAGAGTGGCCAGTCAGCAGACTCATACTCTGACTAGTCAGGATTCTTTCTCTGGTGGTGGTGGTAGTAATGAGTAAGTTGGGAGATCACATTTCTGTGCTTTAAGACATCAACTTCAGTAAGTTAGAATTGTACGTGTTCTTCCCCTAACCCAATACTTCTGAGTGTGGCCAGAGAACACTCATCCTAGGGGATAATCATAGACAGAGTACATAAATGCTTCCAAGGATTTCTTTACCAAAAGATTTTCAGGACCTTTATAACAATATGAGCATCATGAATTTTTAATATTAGGGAACTCTAGGATGCAATATTTCTCAAACTTATTTGAGACTAGGGAACCCTTTTTTCATAAAATCTTAGGAGACTAATGTTTTACATAGAATATACTTTGAGAAACTGTGCGCTAACCTCTTATTCAGAGCCTAATCCAGTGGCACCCATATATATATATATCCTTGGACCAGTGGTCCTCTGTTAAACTTTTCACTAATCTATAATGATGAGGGAAAAAATCAGGACAATGTGGTAAATTTTTTCCTTAAAGCAACTTGTATGTGTCCCTTATTATGAAATTATGTTCTTCTGTTCTAGCACCCTTTTTTTTTTTTTTTTTTTGGTGAGGAAGATTAGCCCTGAGCTAACATCTGTTGCCAATCCTCCTCTTTTTGCTAAGGAAGATTAGTCCTGGGCTAACATCTGTGCCCATCTTCCTCTACTTTATATGTGGGACGCCTGCCACAGCATGGCTTGATAAGTGGTATGTAGGTCTGTGCCCAGGATCCAAACCTGTGGACCTCGGGCCGCTGAAGTGGAATGCACGAACTTAACCACAACACCACGAGGCCGGCCCCTCTAGCACCCTTTTTAAATGAATGGCAGTGTTAGTGAATGGCAGTTGTATTTTTTTTTTTTTTTGAGGAAAATCGGCCCTGAGCTAACACCTGCCAATCCTCCTCTTTTTGCTGAGGAAGACTGGCCCTGGGCTAACATCCATGCCCATCTTCCTCCACTTTATATGGGATGCCGCCGCAGCGGAGCGTGCACTTAACCACTTGCACCACCGGGCTGGCCCCTGGCAGTTGTATTTTAAATGTACTTTGTTAGAAAAATAAAGTCAGCAGTCCATGGTAGATACCCAAAGTGTTTAGAGTATTTTAGCATTTTGTGAAACCTAAAAGTTTGCTGTTTAGCAGAGACTTTTTCCCCCGAAAATACCATTTTTAAGCTTTGAAGTATATTCTAGGGTCCATTAAGTCCAGGATTTCCTGTGTCCCTGCTCCATATCCATATGCCCATAATTAATTTTTAAATTTTAGTTATGTGTCCTCAGCCCTTGTTTCTTCATCCAGAAAAGGCTTAATCATTTCATCATGTGGGAACCTTGCCCCGTTACCAGGGTGACATTGGTCCAGCAGGGTTGTGTTGTACAGCACCTGGAGGCACTGTTCACACGCACCTCTCTCTTCCATGACAGGGTGTTCCTCTCTCAATTTTCAGAGGCTGGTAGTATTCATTTGGAGGTGTCTAGGATGAGACAACTGGAAATTCTGAAGCTCATGAGGAGTTCATGGATTAAAAGTAGATCTTGCATTCAGCGTAAGCTGATAGTTGAGGAAGTTAATGAACTTGGAAGAGAGGTCAGTGGGACAAAACCTTAAGGCTCACCTAGATGTAAGGAGTCAGCAGAGGAGGAGTGGCCTGTCGGGAACGCAGAGTGACAGGGGGAGCAGGTGAGGCGTGGAGCCCCAGCAGGGCAGTGTCGAGCTGCTTGGGTCAGCAGTGTTAAATCCTGTAGGACAATTAAGATGAGAGAATACCTCCAAATTTGGCAATTTCAGTTGGCAAAGGATGGTGGTGGCATAGGGCCTAAGGAATATTTTTTTAAGCATTTATATAGGCCAAAGGGAAGACATGATCATTAAGCAATTGCATGGGTTCCAGCCAAAAAGATCCTGTGCTTGGTTTGTATCAGCTCACCTAGGTTTTCCCAAATGGTCCTTCCCCACAGCCCCATCCACCAGAGATCTGGAGGCGGCAGTGGCTACCAGAGAAGGACTAGCAGTTGCCCCTCTTTGGAAGTACGGCTTATGAAACACTGTAGGATCTGCGTGAAGATATGATGTCTCCTGTGGATGCATGTTTGTTCTGAGATAAACTTGGGCCCTGGGCCTGACTCCTTCCTTGAGGTCTGGAGGGAGTGGAGGAGGGGAGGCGGTTAGGAGGGAGGATAGATAACTGTACCCATTACCACTGCACTTGGGATTGGGACTCTAGTCTCCCATCCTGCCTGAAGTTAGACCAGCTCAGTGTGGATCCATTACCCAGGCTCCTTCCAGTCCCTTGGATCAAGTCCTTTCCAAGACAGCTAATAATCCAGTCTACGTAATCTTAGGGAAGTGTAAATTGGAATTGAAAATAGTGGTGCTGATGAAATAATAGAAACATTTTAGAGCAAAATGAGTCTCTCAAAAAGGCCAAATGAAGGGTAGTTGCCACCAATGGCACCGCTGGCGCACATGACCTTCCTCCATTCCTCAGAGGGGGCTTCCTCCGCCCCCACGGAAAGATGGCACCAGAAGAGAAGATGAGAGCAGGAGTGACATCTGCTGTTAGACATAAGGATCTATACTCAGACTGGCCACCACTTCTGATGTGTGGAGCATTGGGATGCCACCTTTCCAAATCCTGAAGAGTCCAGGGCCTGCTCCTCTCAGGGGGTCCTTCAAGGATTTTTAATTTACCCACTTTGACTTCCTGTTTCTAAAGGGAAATCAGTGTCTAGACTAGAAAAGTAAACAAGTTCTTTATTCTTTAAATAAACATATGTAGTGTGTCTGCTGTGTGCTGCATAGAAAAATGTGCAAAACCAGGCCTGTGCCCCTAAGGAGCTAAAGTCCTAATGGTCGAGAGTTGTGGACACACATTTTAAAGAGAGAGGAGAGAGACTGCTCAGGATGCTCCACGTTGAGCCTGCTGTGAAGAAAGCTGCCAGGTCAGGTGTGTGTGTGTGTGTGTGTGTCTGCCATCGTCAGTGGCATAAGTAAGACCGTCGCAGGAGTGGGTGTTATTGTGAATTTGTTTAGCAGCTTGCTTGATGGATGATGTTTAGTCGGGCTACAAGCTATGTCTGTGCATCACTAGAGTTTTGCTAATGGTCTGGCCATGTGGCAGAGAACCCCAGAATACATGATAATGATTGAAAATGATCTATTTCCCAGATATGTTGAGAACAGGAAAGTATGAGCAAGTTAATCCCTCCTCACGGCATGAAAGTTACACAGCTTTCCTTGTGGGGATCCAAATGTAGTTAAATCAAAAAAAAGTGGGGCGGGGGGTGGGGAGAAAGGAGCTGGGGTCGATGAGGGAAGGTGTTCTTTAAGAACTCATAAATTCCCTGGCCATGGGATAGAAATATTCCGCCACAGCATAGAAATTACAAGCACATGTAGTTACAGCCACGCCAAATTGGAGGACATGGCAAGAGATAAGAAGGCGGGAATTTGAAGCTGTTCATTCCTCCTGTTTAGTTTTGAGAGGAATGGCCTAGTCTCCGGCTGTGAGCATGAGGACTTTGGGGAACCCCAAGTGCTGGGTGTCAAGGCAGAGCTTGGAGCTTAGCAGGGCGGGAAAGGCACTGGGTCTTCCTGCAGGCTCAGACAGCTGCTGTGGCGCCTGCAGTCACCCCTGCCTTCTCCTTAAAAGAGACCCAGGCTGCAGCATGCCCGGAAAGCAGGGCAGTACTTGTGCCTTTCTTCTGTTAACCAGGGTCTCCATGTCTCACTTAAGTTCATCAACACAATAAATATTCAGTGAGCATCCGCAGCACGTAAGGTACTGTTCTGGGTGCTGAGGATCCAACAGTGAACAAAAGCAGACAAGATCCTTGCCTTCATGGAGCTGACATTCTGTAATGGGGAAAGATGGGTAATAAAATACTAAAATAAATGTAATAGGTAGGATGGTGAGACGTGCTAAGGAAGGAGCAAAGCTAGGTCAGAAGGTAAACGTTGGGTCTGACTGGGCAGGGGCTTCATTACAGGGGGAGCAGGGGAGTCGGGGTCAGCCTGACACTTCCCATGGAGCGGACACCCAGAGCTTTCCCAGACTCATACAGGGTTCCTTTTTCAGAACAGACCTCACTGTACTCCAGTTTAGAGAACACTTGGACTTCTCCAGTCCTCCTCTTCTTGCCTCTCCATTTGCTAAATCCAAGTAAGCAGGCTTGAAAGGCAGCAAGCTTGAGCTAGGTGAGGCCTCTCCAGAGCCTTGGAGAGGATGCCCAGGCAGCTGTGCACTTCACCTCTAGAGGCTCATCAATTAGCCCTTCCTGGAGAGAGCTTTCTCCGTTTTCCTAGTGAGGAGCCACACGCCCTAGTTCTGATTACCCCGAGCCCTGGGTCTGTTCTGCTTCCTATGTGAGTTATAAAGTAGGGACAGGCCTGAAAACCTGCCCCCTGCCAGGTACTGTGGCGGGCACCCCTTCCAGCCCTCGCCGCGTCCTCCAGGCTTTGTAAGGTAAAGCACAGCAGACCTCTGCTGACCACACAGCACTTACTGAGCTCATCTCGAACCAGGAATGTTAGGACAACCCAGTGCAGTCAAAGCTGTGTCTCCCCCTTCTGCCCACTGTCTATTTTCTGTAAGTCTGGCTGAGAGATCTTTGAGACCCCTAAGCATATGCACCAGGAGGGCTCCCTCACTGGCTCCTGGAAGAAGTTCAAGGAGGATGGCCACATGTTAAGACCAGGACATTGAGTCTCAGCGGCGCCACAACTCCCGAGAACAACTGCAGGTCAGGGCCACCTGCAGGAGCCTCTGCCCCGACCGCCCACTTCCACCATCCTTCTCACCCGGCTGAAAATGGAAATTCAGAAGGCCTGTGTGCTCACTGTCAAGTTAGAAATGAACACATTTGGACTTCCCTCTGGTGTCTTATGGGCTCTGAGGAGTCATCTCTCAGGGTCTCTGTAGAGTAGACTGGGACATGCATTCTCTCTGCCCACCAGGTGAGCCCTGGTGTGCACACAGGTGGTGTTGCTGTAATAACTGTGCAAAGAGCAGCTTGGTGATAAAACCCCGTGCTCCCAGAGCCCGGGGCGAGAGCTAGGGCCCCAGCACTCTTACTTCATCAGTCCTGAGCCATACTGATTAGCTTAAGCCCAGGGGCCTGGAGGAATCTGGTCATCAGTGGGATTTCTTAAACGACAAGCATCCTAAAAATGCAGCCTTGGTCTGGCAGTCCCAGGAGGCACCCTCGGTCTACTGCAGGCACTCCCTTCCTCCCTCGTGTGCTCTTGGCAAGTGTGGACAGGGCTGGGAGAAGTTGTGTGAGCTGATAGGTTTTGTTTGCAAAGATGCATATTTATTTTCCTGTCCTCAAATAACCCAACTTTTACTAGGAAGCTAGAGTCACATCTACTCATCTTTTTATTTTTGTTTTTTGTAAGGAAGATTAGCCCTGAGCTAAGATCCAATGCCAATCCTCCTCTTTTTGCTGAGGAAGATGGGCCCTGGGCTAACATCCGTACCCATCTTCCTCTACTTTATGTGGGACGCTGCCACAGCATGGCCTGACAAGCAGTGGGTCAGTCCGTGCCCGGGATCCGAACCTGCATGCCCCGGGCCGCTGAAGCGGAGCATGCGAACTTAACCACTACACCACGGGGCCGGCCCCTGTTAATGTTTTTATAATGAAATTCTGGGGAAAACTTTTTTTTTTCTTCATTCTGAGAAGAGAGATGTCCTAAGAAGGCAGTCTTTCCTTTGGCCTCACCCAGAATCCTGGAGGTGGGTTTCAGCACAGGCACAGTCCCTGCTGAATCCCCGAGGGGCGTGAGGTCTCCCTCTGGAGCAGCTGCTTCCTGTGCCAGCAAACCACAGAGACCCTGATGGGGACCTCAGAGGTTTGCATTAGGACGCTGTGCGCTTCTGTTCACGAAGCCCTGCGTGCCAGAAACAGCCTCTCTGTCTGCAACAAGGAGAGCAGCGCTGACAGGCTGAAAATTCGAGAAATGTTAGTCGAGAACAGGGCCATTGGCATCCATGTGCAGGGAGTCGGGCTTCCTTCCTCGGCACCAGGAATTCTCATGAAAACCAGCTGGCTCAGAAACAGCCATGCCTGCAGGAAGAATATTAAAAATTTATTATTTTCTGGGTCTCTGCACCTTCATATTTCAAAATTCTCAGACCCTAGGGAATAACAGGATATGTTCACAAATGTTTCCTTTTGGTTTTTGTTTTCTAGTAGGTGCTTGGAGCAAAGTTTAGCTCATCAGTGCACAGGATTCTCCTGGAGAAGTGCTTCGGTGGCCGTGGGCTGACCAAAGTTGCTATTGTGGTCTGGGGCAGCCCCTGGAGTTGGTTAGGTTTGGGGCTCTTCCTCTTTTGGGGGGCCTCAGGTCCCATGCCTAGACATGTCGAGACATGGCGTTTGGACAGTCCTAGGGGTCCAGCCCACAGGCCCATGTGTGCAGAGGCCATGCCTCCTTGGCCAGGCAGCCTCCTGGTGCCACCTCTGCCCCTGGGGATGTACACCCTCGTGCTCTTGAGTGAAGGTGTGAGACAGGTTTCCCCCGCAGCACGCTTTTCTCCAGGCCTGGGTGCCAGGGAGTCCCCAGGAGCCCCCTCCTGCTGGGGTGCTTTCCCCTCGCCCCGAGAGCCTCCTCTCACTTGCCACTGCGTCCTGCCTGGGACCTTTTCATGCCCCTGCTGTAAGGTCGATCTCCAGTGGTGCTTGTCCTTAGCGAGGCGGTCGGTCCCTTTGCCTTTGGCTGACTCAGCTCTTTGCCCTCAGAACAGGCTGGTCTTCAAGGCCCAGGGACCCCCAGCAGCAGGCCAGCCTGAGCGTGGAGATGACTGTGCACTGTTAATGGGTGATCTCTTTCTCCATCCCAGGTTCCAGGTGTGTGATGGTGGCTGCAATCTGTCTTGTGGGTATTAATGCAATCTTCAGTGGTGGCTACTGTTCTCGAGCTGTTCTACAAAACTGGAGCGTGCTGGTGAGTTCCCAAGTCAGAGGCTCAACAGCCCCTCCGGAGAAGCAGCGTGTCCTGGGCAGGGCACGATGGTGTAGACCAGTGTGGCTGGGATCATCACACCAGCATCACCTGGGAGGGAACCCCAGGCCTCTGGGTGAGGGGCCCAGCACTCTGGGTGGTACCATCTCTCCAGGTGAATGTGATCGAGGTTGACACATGCTGGTGTGGAGTGCTCAAGGTCAGAGGTGCTTTCCATTATCTCCTCCAGCCATGGTCTGCTTAGGGAAGGTCGTCCAAGGATAGCAAGGGAGAGTTTTGCAAACTCTCAAAGCACATCACTCCAGTACTTGGTCCTCACCACAGCCTTCCTGGGTCAGGCTGATGCCGAGGTAGGGCCGTCAGCACCTGCTTCTCCAGCAGCATCATGGAATGACATATTCCACCTGAAGGCTAAAGCTTCAGTTATCTGTGAATGCCCTTAAGCCTTTTTTGGGAAATTAACCATTTTGGTGGAAATCTTTTTCAGATGTAGTATGTATATTCCTCCTGACTTATTAATCCAATTATACTGAATATAATGCAGCCCTTTCTTGGTGACTCAGGGACACTTTGATGAGCCTCTTCAGAAATAGGGTGATGACTGCCCTTGGGCAGTAACTGAATTAGAGGATCCTCACTGAATTCCTCCAGACTGCTGGGCTCTTCAGGTGGGCGATGATTTTGGTGATTTGTGTATCTTTTCACTCGATACCAACTGTTACTTCTTCGTCCAACTGCTTCTAGCAGCAGGTGTAGTCTTAATAACGTAGCACTCCCAGAGCTGACCTGCCTGCCAGGCACCCCCTGCAGGGGCTTCCAGTCTCTCTGAAAAGCTTGGCCTAGAACAGCAGGAACGCCAGGGGCAGGCCAACAGAGGGTATGTCTCAGCCCAAATAAGGTGGCAAATTTCATCCCTACAAGGGGCCTGCAAAGAAGAGATGAGTCAGAAAGAGGGCAAGATTCCTGCTAAGGACAGAGAGCCGAGAAGCTCTGGCCAGGGAGGTCATTACCGCATTTTTGGGGCTTAAGCAATTTCGTGCTTAGAATAGTACGTTTCGGGGCCTGTCCAGAGGTGCAGGCGGCCGGTGTGTGCGGGTTTGGCAGCCTGCCTCCCCCGACCTGCACAGGAAGCTAGCAGCCTGCACTTGGGGTCTGTGTTCCACTGCAATCCCTCTCTCACTAACCAGACTTACCGACAGGTAAACGTTTTTCCACATCACACAGGGCAGCTGATATTGATCCCACTAATTCCACAGCCTTCTAATTTTTTAGATTTTCCTTTTGTCATGGTTCTGAATAGTAGTGCCCACAATATTACCGATATTATCACTCAGTAAAACTTTTTTTTAAAAGACAAGATTTTGTTTTGTTTTTTTTTTCTCCTCTTCTGGGGAAATTTAAAGACCAATTAACAAGCCACCCATACAGTTTTTTGGAAGCAGGTTAGAATGCTGATTTTTTTTAATGCAGTAAATTGACCCAAACATCAGTAATTCGTGGCACATGCAGATGAGCCCAGTCTGGAAGCGGTAGCGGCTGGAGCGTGTGGTGACTTCATACAGACAAGGGAAGGGCCTAGTAGGGGAGGAGAACCGGGCCGTGGTCCTGGGTGGGCAGCCAAGAGTCAGGTGCAGGCATCCCAGATACGCCTGAGAAAGTGGGGTGGCTGGCCGGCATGGGCCAGGTTGGGAGCAGGGTGTCTTCAGCACTAGCCATGTTCACGTTCAAGCTCACCAGTTCTGGTGCATCCAGGGGTTACAAGAACAGGTCCGGAGGAGGCTTTCCTTTTCCCAAGTCTAATGTCGGATCATAGTGCTTGTGGCCTGGGCTGGGAGGAGCCAGCGCATGCTTGTTACTGTGGCGGTGAGCGCCTGGGGGCAGGGCTGGGCGGGGAAGTGTCTTCAGAATAGGGAGGAGTTTCTGTTCCCTTGGACACTCTATAGACTATGAACCTTTTTAAATGTTAACTGGTCTTCTTCTTATAAATTATCAATATTTGATTTTTTAAAAAAAAAGCTCACAGGTATAAAATTAAAACTGAACCTTTTTTTTTTTTATTTTATTTATTTATTTTTTTCCCCCAAAGTCCCAGCAGATAGTTGCATGTCATAGCTGTATATCCTTCCAGTTGCTGCATGTGGGACGCGGCACCAGCATGGCCGGAGAAGCGGTGCGTCGGGGCGCGCCCGGGATCCGAACCCCGGGCCGCCAGCAGCGGAGCGTGCGCACTTAACCACTAAGCCACGGGGCCGGCCCTGAACCATTCTTATTAATTAAAAGCCTTAGTCATATGCTACATCCCTTGTTTATTGGGAGTTAGATGGAGGGGAATATTCCCTATCTGACTTTTGACAAAAATGACTAAATGTTAGAGAAACTCTTAAGAAATCATTAGTAAAGAGGTTAAGGATTTGTAGATGGATTAGGGGAAAACAGAGCAAGAATTTTCTTACTGCTGGGAGAAAAAGCTCCCAAGGCACTTGGACAGACGGGCTCTAACTCACCACCTGGAAGGCAGAGTCAGGGAGGAGCAGCCAGGCCCAGGTCTGGACTGCCGCACGGCAGCAGAAGGCCCCAGGACCCCACACCCGTCAGCAGCTGTCCCCAAGTACTGAGGGCCACAGACTGATCTTTTTGCTCAAGGACAACTGAAATGGAATGTTTTAGAATTGTGTAATATTCCTTAAGGTATCAGGAGACGGTCTCCGTTGTCTTCAAATTGGGACAGTTGCGACCTGCCTTAGACAAGGTTTCTGACGTATCTTTCCCTCCCTAGTTTACCCTGTCACATGCATGTCGTGTTGACCCCCTTTCAGTGAGGAGAATCTGCTCTCTAAATAGAGCCTGACGCTCTCCCACCCCGCCCCCTCTCCCTCCGTGGTGCTGTGTTCCCGGATGTCTTTGCATTCTGTTTAAAATGTCCTTGTTAATACATTCCAAGGTTTGAACTCCATTCCTCACTAAACCCCTTCCTTGTTTACAGGGACTGAAATAGCCACATTTTGACCTTCTGTTCAGTCTGGGAACATCTATGGCAATGTGGATGCATTCTTTTCCCATGTGAGAATTACATTTACACAGCACAGTTATGGAAAAGCTCAGGAAACTATCGACTCTCATCCCCCTTCTCCGCTCTTCCCTCCTCCCTTCCAGGTTCTTTTTCACTTCAAAAGATCAGCCTTTTTAAATCAGCCACAATTAACCAGACCCGTACACCTTGCTTCCTGCTCAGGGGTCCAGGAAGAAACGGACAGGATACTGTGAGGTCGGGGTGGGTTGCTTATTGCCTGGGAAAGCTGGAGGCTCCTTCCCATTCTCCCTGGTATCAGCTTCCTGTAGAAGGCCCCCGTCAGGGCCACAGCTGCCCAGCAGAGGTGCTCAGGGCATCACGGGGCAGGTGCGGAGGGCCCAGCATGGGTCCCTGGGCACCATCTCCTGGCTCTCAGTCCAGGGCATTATCAAGACCAGGGCCTGGGTCTCAGTGCCACATCTCATTAATGGCCTATCGTTACCATTTTATTTGCCCTGGAGTCCAAGTGTCTGAATTTTTACTACATGCAAGGTGTCTGAGGTGGAGGAAGGAGGAGATAGTCTTAGGGAGGAAAATAATCCAAGATAATCCTTGTGAAAGCCAAACAACTGGCCTGGACGCTGAGAGCTCCTGGTGCGAGTTCAGGGGAGAAAGACCTGCCGGCTGAAGGATCAGGCAAGGCTGGAGGAAGTGGGGCTTAAACTGAGTTTTGAAAGATAGTCGGGTTTGTGTAAAGGGAGGAAGTGAGAATATACATAGTATGTTCTTGTTGAGAGTGGATTATGACCGAGCTTGAGGGCCGTGAGGGATGTATTAGAGATTTGGGTCTTGGGGAGGCATTGGAGAGATCTGAGCAAGGGGGAGGTGTTTTAGGAATCTTTGTCATCTTGCTGCCCAGAGCAAAAATGAATGAAGAGTCAAGTCAGAAACACATACCAGGAGAGGCAAACCCAGGATGGTGATGGTGGTGTCAGGAAGTAACCGAGTGATCTGAGAGGGCAGGCTGTGTCACCGATGGAGCGGCACCAGGGGCTGGACATAGGGACAAAGACACAGGCAGAGGGATGAGGAGCTGGAGCCCTGTGAAGGCAGATGGCGAGTCTGGGTTTAGACACGTTGCCTTTGAGGTCATGGCAGAAATGTCCAGGCCAAAACTGATAGGAATGTCCAGGAACTGGTAGTGGAACCAGAAGGAGGCCAGTGCTAGCAGCGTGCATTTGCCCAGTGATGGTCGCTGAGCTCTCCAGAGAAGAAAGCAGAAAGGAGGCCAGCCAGGCCCCCTGCCGTACACAGCCGGAAGAAACCGCAGGGACTTCGTCCATCCTAAACCAGTGGGCCCAGCCCATGGGAAGGAGTGATCACTCGTGGCTGATGTTCCTTTGCCCCCTCGCTCAGTCCCTTCTCTCTCAGTCTCTGACGGCAGTGTGGCAGCTTTGGTTTCAGGCCGTTGGTCTTGATGCCGTATCACCACATCCAGTTTCAGCTGCTTTCCCAAGATGGCCGTCTCCAAGCCTGCGCTCTGTCAGAGGCCTGGGCAGTGCACAGGCCCCTTAGGATCCCAGAGTCCAAGGACTGCTGAGTGCTATCCCCTGTGAATTGTTCCAAAGTAGGAAAAGCTGTAGGGTGACTGCTGTTCCTCAGAAATGGTTTCCTGGAATCGACACACACAGCTTGGGCTGCTGGCACGAGGTCAAGTTTGAGATGATGTGGAACTTGTCATGCCAGGCCCGACAAGCTGAGAATGTCGGGGAAGGAAACTGGCCTCGTCTCCAGTTCCTCTAAGCTGGTTTCCCTCCTCTGTTGTTGTACAGTGACTCGGAGTGCAGCGAGAGGGGGCGTCGCCTCTTCACACTCTCCAGGGGAGGCTCCTTTGACAGTTAAAGGGCAGGAGATCAGGCATTCGTGGGGATGTGAGACAGGCCAGAGCTCGTGGGCCCTTAGTCCCCCTCATCCCAGCCCCCAGGGAAAGATGCCTCAAGTCTGGGCACTCTCTCACTCCTGCCACCCTAGGGCTGCTCCCTGCTATGCATACCTGGATCGTGGGATCCTGGCACCCTGCCTGCTGCCAGGTAGAAATCAGGGTGTAACAGAAGAGATACAGCTTTCAAGAGAGGGTTCTTCTGCTAGCCCTGCTCACTAAGCATCACAGGACATGGGACCTGTACCAAAGATGCGATGTGAACAGTCCTGGCCCACTTAGATTTCTCCATCATGGACCATCTGGCAAGTAGGGGGTTGATCCCTCTACTGTGCTGGGCACAAGGGGAGGCAAAGAGTCAGAAAGTGAGATTCCTGATGGCATTGACCTCCTTCACTCCTGCTAGACAAATCCTCCTGTTCCAGAGAATTCGGCTGAGAAAGTGAAGGGAGGAGGTGGGAATGGGGTGTTACTGAGGTTCTGTGTGTGTGCCAGGCCTCACAGAGCTTGACCTGAGAGCATTTCCAAACCAAAGGGCTCTCTAATTTGGCTTTTCTCTATAATAAGCATCATTAAATTAATGTGCCAGGACTAATTTAATAGTTGCAATAAGCTGAAGAGACAGGTGTTATTCTAACATTACAGAGGAGCTTCTGGATGTCCAGATCCCTTCTCTTGAAAGCTACACCCTGATTTCTCCCCAGGGATTTTTCCATGATCCATGGGTATGTGATAATTATATTGGGTCTTCTGACTTGTGGCCCATCATTATTTCTACCCATTTGTACTGTCATCTACAAACTAGGCTGTGACAAGATACAGTGGATCACAGTTCAGATCCAGATGTGGCTGGCACTGTACACATAAATTAGGAGTACTTACCAAGATTGTCCAATTAGCTATGTTTGAGAGTGTTCACCTAAATATGTTTCTAATTTCAGGATTTACTGCTAAATACACATTTTCCCAAATAAGTCTACCTTAGGACAGTTATATGGGCTGTCAATAATAATGCTATATTTTTTAAGCTTCCTCACAAATAAGCATTTTTCTGTACAAAATTCTGGTATATGCTGATTTACTTCTGCGTATACCTTTTCTACAACCACAAATTTATAAGAGTCTGACATATTGATCAGATAGCAAGAAAACAAGGGACTTCAGAGTTAAGAGAGAGAAAACTACAGGCATACCTCGGAGATACTGCGGGTTCAGCTGCAGACCACTGCAGTAAAGCGAGTCATATGAATTTTTTGGTTTCCCAGTGCATATAAAAGTTATGTTTACACTATACTGTAGTCTGTTAAGTGTGCAACAGCATTATGTCTAAAAAAACAATGTACATACCTTAATTAAAAAATACTTTTGCTAAAAAACGCTAACCATCATCTGAGCGTTCAGCAAGTCGTAATCTTTTTGCTGGTGAAAGGTCTTGTAAAAAACGCATTGTCTATGAAGGACAATAAAGTGAAGCGCAATAAAATGAGGTATGCCTGTAAAATGAATGCTAGA